TTAAGAATCATCAATAAGGAACTTAACAGAGTTAGATGGTGGACTTACCTGAAGCAGAGTCAAACCTTTTTTTTCCCTTCTCTCTTAGATCTTTCAGGTAGTTTGGGCAGTTTCGCAACCAATGCCCCTTCTCTTGACAATGAAAACATATAGACTCTTTGGGAATGGTACACAGGACTATCACAGACTTAGTTTTTCCCTTTACCTTTTGGTCAACCGGATTGACCAAGGCCGATCCTTTTCCATTGGGAAGAGAAAGCTTTTATGGACTTCCAATGTTACCATTGTCAATGTCCATGGAAGTTTGAGAAATAGACCTTCCACCCATATTTGCTTGACCATTGCGCCACATCATTTCTGACTCAACGGCAACAAGCAAATAAGATAGATTTATTAGGGTCATGTCGTGATTTGTCACATAGTAGTTCTTAATGAACTCACTATATGACTCAAGAAGTGACTGAAGAACCCAGTCAATAGCCAACTTCCTTGGGACAACGACACCCAACATTTTCAACCTGTCAAAGTGTGACTTCATTCCTAAGACATGAGTGCACACAGGTCTTCCATCTTTATGTTTCATTGCTAGTAGGGCTTTAGTGACCTTGAATTTTTCAAGTCTTCGAGCTTGTGGGTCAAGGAGAATAAATGGAGGAGGTGGAGGTAGAGAAGTATGATTTCCATGAGATTTGGGAAGATCACAGTTGTCTAAAACAGATATCTACAATGGTAGATATTCAAGTTAGTTGATTTTAAGTCCTTAATAGAACAACCAATATGAAATATTAAGGCTAGGACCCAACACAATATTTTATAACTTGGAAGAGGGAAGCCGTAATCCAAGCTATAAAATATTTGAAGGTAGGTGAATGACGATTCACCAATTTCCACCATGAAAAACGAAATAAATTATTAGGTTTTAATTGGATTTGAAACTCCTAGATCTTTTGAGATTCATTGAACTTTCAATGGCATGTTTCAATCTCGAGTGTGCCCTTCAGGTTTTGTGACTGGGATGCTGAGGATCACAAAACAAGGTGTGAAGTACCCATGCAAATTACTTGGTACCCTTAATGTTTACCCCTCAATCGATGTGTCGGTTAACAACACACGCTCCATCGATACTATGATAAACATTAAGTTACCCTTTGCCTACCTTGTTAAGTCCAGCTAGTGTGCCGATTAACCACACGCGCTCCACTAACCGACTTAAGCAAAGTGTAAAGTGTAATTTCATGGGTTAGCACCTTATTCACATTTTTCCTAAAGTAACTAAGATTGGGAATTTATAAAAACATTTAGTTACTTTATGATCATCATACTTTTAATGAAGATTTAAAGTCCTTGTCTTATCCGTTCGGCTAACGACCCTCCACCGATCAAGGAAGTGGTGGGTGAGAGTGGACACCCATTAAGCTGCCATTTTATAGGCAGCAACCCTATACCCCCCCCCCCTTATAGACCGGCTTCGTGAATGATGCCTACTAACGGTAAAACGACTTGTTCTTATACATATATAATTATTATTAACTTATAATATTATAAAGTATAAGGGTTGAATTTTAACTTTTAAAATTCTAGAGGTTGGAACTAAAGTTTTAAAGAGACTTTAGATGTTCCAAAACTTGAGGGCAAGTTTTGTAACTTTCAAAACTTTTCATCTTTCATAACTTATGAGTTGAATGGTTTATTAAAATGAAAGACTTTTCATTTTATGTAACCTATGTGTTTCTTTAATGGACTTTAAAACAATGACTTTTGGTAATCCATAACTTGAGGACAAATTATGGATTCCATTAAAACACATAATAATCAAGAATTAAACTAACAAGCAAGTTACAAATAATTCCTATGATCTTCTAAACTCATAAGTTCATGAATGTTTATATCAACAATTTCAAGAATCATAAATAAACCATATAAAACTTGAAAATTTGATAATAGATATTGAAAATGGATTAGCATGACCATTACACCATCTAAAACAAGTTTTATAACACCAAATCAGTTTAGGGTAATGTTTCTAGTCCATTTCCAGCAGAAAAGCTCCAAAAACTGCTCACTGGATGACAAACTCGTCGAGTTCATGTAATAACTCATGAACTCGGCGAGTTTTTGGCCATAACTCGTCGAGTTTTCTTGTCTGGGCAGTTTTTGGCTTTTGAAAAACAATTTTGCATCAAGTATCAAATAAACAAGCCTAGGCTCTGATACCACTAAAGGGTTTTGAGCATTCTAACACTCCTATGGTGTACATGCAACCCTAGAAACTTTGGATCTATGTTTTACTAAGATACATGAAAAATTGATTTTCCAAGGTTCTTATTCTATCTAGCATAGCATGGGGAACTTTTGTACATAAATGCTAGAAGAAGAACATACCTTTTGTGGTTTGGATTCCTTGAGAACCTTGTGATCCTAGCACCTCAAGTGTGATGCCTCAAATGTCTCACACAACACCAAATACACTTGGAATAACCTTGAGAGAAATAGAACACTTCTAAAATCGGCTATGCCCTTTTGTTCTCACACTAGTACCGATTTTGGTTGCTCACATATTCCTTTTATAGTGTGTCATAGGTAGGGTTACACCATCTAAACCCTAACTTGACATGGCTCTTCATTTCCATTATCCATGGGTTCAAAGACACCATGGAGCATCTATTGAGTATCCTATGGGTTTTAGCCTAACTTGATAATCCATGGAGCATTAGCCCACTATACAAGTAACGGGTGATTTACACAATCAACTCATATATTTAATTAGTCTTCTTCTGATCACTTAATTAATATCAAATTAATTCTTGATCAATACTAATTAAATAATATTATTAATATATTAGAACTTATAATATATTAATAAACCTTAAGTGTTATTTCTCTCATTTTAGTCTATCCAAATGCATGATGCCATGCAACCCAAATGGACCATGCCAACCGGGTCAAGTACATCCCATAAATAGTTATGAACTTAGACTCCTAATCCAATACATATAACCATAAAGGGACCTCAAGGATCGATAACGTTGCCAACTTTATGGAATCCATCCATCCAAACTCTCCCAAACATGGAGAAAAGTGCGCAAAACCCTAGATCAAAAAACATAGCACACAAGATCAGAACTTGAGGACTTACAAGAGTCCAAAATGTGTGTAAGAGATGATGAGGAGATTTGCTTGCTGGATCTATGCACCAAGGACACCTTCTTCTTCTTCAAGGCACCAAAAACACCATGAAAAGCTAACAAATGTCAACAATGGAGGCTAGGGTTGCTCGAGGTCGAAAAGGAGGTGATGGAGGCTAAGGTTGTACAAACCCTAGCCATCACATCCCTTAAATAAGGCTTTAAGCCCGGAAAATTAGGGTATTGCATGTTGACGGCCGCCACGTCATGGCCATCACCCTACTACGTCGTCGCACCTTAAATGAATGTGTGTTTTCATCGGGTGCCACCACATCGTGGTACTATCACCACCACGTCGTGGCCACTAAAAATCATATACTTCTAAGTCTTAAATGATGTATTCATAAAAGCAATTATGCCTGGAATTTGGTGTTCCACATAGATTTCATAAATTTATACTAATCTAAACACATTTAAACGTACATTTCAATTCATAAATCTATAATAATCTAAACACATTTTATGCAAAAGTTATACAACTAAATAACATAATACATAAACGTTTGGTGGTGATGTACCTTTTCCACCTATAAATCTATGATAGTGGTGATTAGTGTTGGTTACCAATATCAAACAATATGTAAGAAAAGGGGTTGGTGCTCATCATCGGGAGGGATGGAGAGAGAGAGAGAGAGAGAGAGAGAGAGAGAGAGATTGAGAAATTGCATAAAAGAGAATGGGAAAAGTTGTCATTTAATTTAAATGCGATATTAGGGGCGATACAAAAAATTAGGGAGAGAGAGAGTGTGTGTGTGTGTGTGAGAGAGAGAGAGAGAGAGAGAGTGAGAGAGTAAGACAGAGAGAGAGAGAGACAGATAGACAGACAGAGAGTGAGAGAGAGAGAGAGAGATGTGGAAGATGACAGGGTTTTTTGGGAGCACTAACAACGATTTAGGAATTAGAGGAGACATCTGACATGTCCAACTGGACGTCCCGGCTCGTTAATGCCCATGTTTTCCCCAGGTGATTAGGTCGACTCTAAAACCTATGCAAGCGATTTCTATACTTATACAAGTGAGTTTTAATTTGTCCCCTCCATTCATACCTTTTATTGTAGTGTTCCCAAACTTTCTTGTAGTTCAATTACAATTATTAAAATGTTTCTCTAAGTATTAGGGTTTCATCTAGTTGTTGCTTTCTATAATTGTTCTTAAAGTCTTTTATAGTAAAAAAAAAAATCTCAAATTTTTCTTTGTTGTTTTGGTGCTTTTTATGTCTCTAGATTCCGTTGTAAATCCATAAGAATTAGTTAAATCTGGTCAACCTAGATTTCGTCGAAAATGGTCAAAGGTGGTCAAACCTAATCTATCGGAAATGGTCAAAACTAGTCAAAATAGACTCGCCAAAAATGGTTAAAAGTGGTTAAAACATATCCATTGAAATTGTCAAATCGGGTCCATCGGTAATAAAGTCCTTCATAAGACCGTCGGAGAGTTATGTCAATTAGTGATTCGTCGTAGGTAAGTTTCCAATGGAATAATCCTTCTGTAATCTGTCAAATAGTTTTTCACATAAAGAATTAGGGCATTCATAATATATTGAACTCTATAGAATTCAATAGATTGTCATTTCATTTTTTACGTTTATATAACTCTTTCAAATTTTTTTTTTCTACAATGTATTGAACTCTACAAAGTTCAATAGAAAATTACAAAAGCTAATTTATAGTATATATTTAAAAACTAAAAACTTTTATTTTTTCCATTAAAGAGTTAAGTGACCATTAAACTCTAAATTCATTGAATGTCAAGGTGGCATCTTACTATAGTAGAGTTCAATCCATTGAATAACAAATAGACTTGTCACCTCATTTAACTCTTCTATTGAACTCACCATTGTGGATGCTCTTAGGACACAAGGCTTTTCCGGAAACAATAAAACCGTTTACTGACGGATTTCACAAAGGTCAAAGATTTGAGTTTGAGGTTTTGAACACAAGGGTAATATTTATTCAAAGATTTGAGTTTGAGGTTTTGAACACAAAGGGTAAAATATTTATTCAGCGAACCACTCTTTGCTTGTTTCATCATAGAAACTACATAACATATAAAACTAGTAGACTCTCTGGTAGTAGGATTCATAATCTGACAATGGTAATTTCGAGACCATCCTCTGGCTTAGGATTTGGGAGATACTTCACTTTCACGTCTGGATTCACTAATTCCCATCTGAAATCCATTTCAAAATTGATCAGTATATACTATATATAAATACTTACATAGTAAAGTTCACTTTTGATCATATCTACTTATGAAATGAATTTATACTTGTATCCCGTGGAGATATGATGTAGAAACAAGGCCAGTTGTAAACGAGCGAGCATATTTCCTGCACAGGTTCTTGGACCAGCGCCAAATGCTTGGAAGTTTTCAGGCAGCATTGATCCCTTAAAACATATATGTGTTTAGTTTTGAAATCAGAAGAAAATGACATGGAGAAAAATATTATGCTTAACATCTGACTTACATCCCATCTATCAGGGTTGAAACACAATGGATCATCATAGTTTTTAGGATCAACGTGGACATTCCTAAGCAATACAATCATATTCCATCCTTTTGGTATAGTGTATCCTGCGTTGTTATAAGTATAAACTTTTAGCTATATAATTATATAAAAATAAAACAAGTGAATAAATAAAACACTAATTACCTTTATACTCAACATCTTCTGTTGTTGTACGTAAAACAAAGTTAGCGACATTCGACAATCTGACTGTTTCATCCACAACCTGAAGGCATGAATATCAATACTAAGGATTAATTCGTCAAATTACTTCCAAAGGGATATATATTACTGCGAAGCAAAGATTATTATATATACCTTGATGGTGTATACCAACTTGAAAATCTCATCGCTGGTTACAAGTTTTTTGGCTCTTACTCTTTTTCAGAACCATGTTCTCGTCCTATATATGATGATATGTGTAAAGATAAAGAAGTCTGAGAGTAGAGTACGAAAAAATAATGCTAGGTGTAGGCGTGTACCCGAAGCTTTTGTAAAACCGAGGGGTATTTCGCAAGATAACAAAGAGCCCACACTGTGACGATGACAACTGATTCAAACCCACCAAGAACAATGCTAGTAATGTTATCAAGAATCTCAGTGTCACTTAAATAGTTCCCTTCCTCATCCTTCAGAGTAATAAACCCATCGATTAAATCATTTATAGGTTGGTTACTTCCATCTGTGTTGTTCCTCCTTCTATCCAACTCTTCCTTGAAAATAGCTTGAGCTTTTCTACGAGACTATCACAAAAAAAGCACCATATAAAAACCTTTACAATTCTGAACGAAGCACATCTATATATTATCCACAAGTACTATATATCTTTGATCATGACATATTAACATGGAAAACTTTAATCCAAACATATATGATGACTACCTGAATCGCACGATGAAATTTAAATCCTGGTATATTCAAAGGGTAGGCCGTAAATCCATCAAGAATTTCCTCAAAGTGTTCGTTAATCTTGTCGAGGATAGGGCCTGGCTCGAAACTAGCAAAATACTTGCCGATGTTCTCAGAAGTGACCTTCATTATTTCATTGAAGGAATTAATTTTACCACGTGTGGTCCACGTTTGGAGGGCTGAGATCATACGTGGTTGCACAGCAAGGGCGATTCGACGTAGAGCATCTGGTTGGTTAATGCTTCGAATAACAAAATTTCGAATCCTAAGATGTGCGTCTCCGTTAACCACAAACATTGACGTCTTGCCTATGAGCTCTGGATTTGCCCACTCCAACCTGAAGGTTTCGGTATCTCGAAGTACAAATTTATTGGTCGTTGGTAAAAATGTAATCACTGATGGCCTACCGAACAGGTGTGTTTTATACATACCTGTCCCATCACCATACCTGCAGTTAGAATTCATAATTGATGATCAAGCATCGGTTAAAATGTTAAATACTAACAAAACACAAAAGGAGTAAAGAAAATTACTTCTGACGCTTTGAATTTATGTAGTCTTCGGGGCGACCAAGAAATTTGAAGTACCACAGGAATGTGAGCGTTTCACCGATGATCGGAAGACCCATGTAGCCTGGCGGCAGCTTGGTGCCACTTTGGGATGGCCGGAGAGCTGTCATAACTAAGCCATACCATATGTCGTTCCACCACCACAATAAACACCCTATTAGTGGCACCGCTCCTATCACCACCGTCAACCATACGGCCACCGTCATAGTGCCTCTCTATAGGTTTTGTATTCTTTCCTGTGCCCGATGATTAATGAACTGCTTCCTACGACTGCTTGTGTTTGTTATATAGCATGCCGGAAAGATACCATTAGAGAACTAACATATGCGAACAAGACTAGTCGACAAGTTTGTAGATTAATATATTGTTTCAACTCGTGAGTGATAATTGGACGATAGAAGAGGAAAACTATATGGTTGGTTAAATGTTATAACCCAGATCTTGAAGTACAATAATTAAGACCTTATTATAAACTAGTCCAGCGTAGAAATATCTTATCTATAAAGTCTTATCAGTAATACTAAACAAACCCCATATGGAGATTGTTGTATTATAGATCTTGATTATTAAATTAGGTGAATGTCGTATATGCCTACCATGCATTAAAATATAATCTTAAATCTAAATATCATTTCTTTTAAAAACTGTATTTAGCCATAAAAAAAAGGAAATTGAGTTATCTAACTTTTTTTTTTTGTTGTTTTAAAAAAATATAATCTTTTTTTTTGCAAAATGATCACTTGGTCCAGAATGGGGTGTTCCAGACCCGATTTCATAGTGGGTAAAACGGGTAGAAAATTTCGACTTGGTGATATGTTCTCCTATAAATACCATTTAACTCGTTTCGAACTAGATTTCGGCATTCCCTTGTTTCGAATTATCACTACAAGAAAAGTCTTTATTAGTGACTAATTTTTAATGACGACCTAAAATTTCGTCACTGAAAGCATCTTTTAGTCACCAAAAATTAAGTGGTCACTGAATTTTGGTAATCCCACAAATTTAATGACCAATTTTATGTGGTGGTCACTAACTCAGTCACTAAACCCTGAAAAAATTAAACTACTATCGTTTCATATCATAACAACTATTTAGTGACTAAAAATAATGGTCACTATGTTAACTATACAATGACTAAGAATAATGGTCACTATGTTAGATGCTTAGTGACAAAAAGAATGGTCCTTGTATTGGAGGTTTAGTGACCAAAAATAATAGTCATGACTACTCTTATTCAAAACCACACCCTTACTCTTTTGTTATTGAAAACTACTTAAATGAGGAAAAACAATTAGTGACCACTCAATAGTGGTCACTCATGAATTACAAGTAAAAAAACAATTAGTGACTATAAATTAGTGGTCATTGATGAATTACAAGTAAAAAAAAAAAATAGTGACTATAAATTAGTGGTCACGGACTCTATATATATAATTTTCATTTAATAAAAATTAAAATATTTTTAATTAATATTTTTTATTTTTGAAAATGACAACAACTTTGTTTTCTTTTTACACATAATTTTGCTAAGAGTTGTTAAATAACTAGACAGCTGTCAGTTTATTTGATGAATATATTTTTATATAAAAGCCTTTTTCCACGTAATAAAAATGAATACAAATCGGACCTTTTTACGATCCATTAACCCGTGTTTTCCCCGCTCCATCTCCTGACATCCCCTCCGGATCGCCTCTGCCACCATCAAATTGATTATCCCGGCGAATCTCTCCTTACAGTTTGCCCTAAATCGACACACCAACGATCGGCAGTTCGGAACTAACGTCGTCGATCCATCGTTGCTCCATGTCGCATACATAGCTTTCTTGCTAATCAATTGTTCAATTGCTAATCAATCGGCTTCCTGATTCCAGGAAATATGATTACATAGCTTACATCGACTACGTGGAATCACTTGATGCGCTCCTTCTCCTCTTCCGGGTTGTGTATTTATCTATTGCCCTTCGACCTATATTTTCAGCATCTAGGGACTGAAGTTCATCTTCTCCCGCATTCAATAGCATGTGCACAACAGTTGTTCGATGAAATGCTCACATGAATTGAGAGTGCATTTCTACTGTGGGTCTGCATCTCGTTCGACTTATTGCACATATAGTTCCGCTGCAAGTTTCTTCCTAAAGTTTCCTGCAGGATTGGTTGTACCTGAGTATATCATCTCCGTTGGTTCATAATCGGTGAGCTCTATCTCTCTCTCTCTCTCTCTCTCTCTCTCTCTCTCTCTCTCTCTCTCTCATTTTTCTGAATTTGTCAAATCGATTTCTCTACGTTCTACCACAACTGAATCACCTGTTGGTCCTCAATCGATTTCTACGATTAGTTGAGTTTCTTTTGCTTTCTGTAAAGTTGTAATTGTTGACTTCTGTTTTGCTGAGTAATTTGTTCTGATTTTTGTGAAGTCTGCGTATCATCGGTTCATCACTCTTTCTGATTTTTGCTGATACCTGATTGTCGAATCTTCAACTCTGCATAGCTTCAATTCATAACTTTCCAGTTCTGATTTTTGTTGAGACTTCATATTTGATCAGTTGATTGTTCATTTGTTCTTGGATTGTAAATCAATTTCAGATTGTTTCTAAATTCTGAAATCTTGTTGATTGTTTCTGAATTCTTGCTGATTGCGATTGTAAGCGCGCAACGGTTGCTGTAAGCGCGCAGCTCAAACAAGAGCTTTGTCATCAGTTCTCTTGAAGTTACTAACATCCGAGAAGCTTCTAGAACCATTAGTAACGATCGAGATGCCATTAGTGAATGTTCTTTCTGATATGGAAGTTTTCGGAATAGGTGTTGACATGGAGGGGTGTATACAATCGCGTCTTGTGATTGGTAAAAAACTGAGATCTCTTGAAAGCGAAGCTTATAAATTGGCGGGTACGAGGTTTTCTTTGTACACGTCAGCAGATTAAAACTGCCAGTTCGGGAAGGGTATAAAGGGAAACAACACCCCAGTACTGACAAACATTGTTTAGAATTATTAAGGTACATTTTTTTTTTTTTTAGCGTAACTTATTAGATGAAGAGATGATGATTGTTTGTTTATTACTTTGTTTTTAAGGTTTGAGCATCCTATTGTTCCTGTTATTAAAGAACACCGGACATTAGCCAAGCTTTTAAACTGTACATTGGGTTCCATTTGTTCACTTTCTAAGTTATCTATGAAGACTCAAAGATATACACTTCATGGACATTGGCTCCAAACTTCAACAGCAACAGGAAGGTTATCCATGGAGGATCCCAATCTTCAGGTTAATATCTTCTCTTCTTCTTATTTTCTTCCTTTTTCTTTTTTGTTTTTCTTATAAATATTTCTTCTAGTGTGTCGAGCATATGGTTGAATTCAAGATAGATAGCAATGATTCAGACATGGAACTCTACAAAGTAAATCCTTGTGATTTCTTCATTCCAACTTAGGTCAATATTTATTTTGTTCTGATAATTACAAGTTATTCAATTCGTTAATGTATAAAATATAAAGGGTATATATATATATATATATATATATATATATATATATATATATAATATATATATTTTTTTTTTTTTTTTTTTTCATACAGGAAAACTGGTTATTAGTAACTGCAGATTATTCTCAGATAGAACTGAGATTAATGGCTCATTTTTCTAAAGACCAATCACTGATTGATCTTCTGACAAAGCCTCTTGGTGATGTGTTCAACATGATCACTGCAAAATGGTCAGGAAAAGAAGAGTCTTTAGTGGGCCCCAAAGGGCGAGATCAAACTAAAAGATTGATTTATGGGATTTTATATGGTATGGGTGCAGATGATGCTAGAGACAAAATTCAGAGTTTCAAAAGATCTTTCCCTGGTGTTGCTTCTTGGCTTATAGACGCTGTTGCAATCTGCCATAAAAAAGGGTAAGATATAATCAATAGTTTACTATTTATTTGTTTACTTATTAATTTAACATATGTTAATGGTATTTATTATATAGTTATGTGGAAACTTTGATGGGAAGGAAGCGGTTTTTGGCGAAAGTTAAGTTTGGAAATAGTGAAGAAAAATCAAAAGCTTCCATTTGTCAGGTACAATATTTAAAAATATTTTATTTTCTCATTTTAGTAATTTATATTAATTTATAAACTGCTGGTGTTTTTGTAGGGATCTGTAGCTGATATAATAAAGGTTGCAATGATAACTATACATGTTGTGATAGGTGAAGGTGTTGACTAGTCAACGCCTAGCAATAGCATCCAATTTGCTGAAAGATTCCATATGCTTAAGGGTCGGTGTAGAATCCTTCTACAGGTCAAATTTTAAAATTGTTATTCTTCATCATATTTTCATAAAAGTTAAATTATTATATTGGAAGATGGCTGAAGGGTATGTTGGACATTTTGTAATCTTTAATGCTCTTCAGGTACACGATTTCCAACAGACTGCAATTCATCAATGGAAAAAGAAAGAGTTCATCAATGGAGAAGAAGTATCATTCATTGAATGTTACAAGATTGGACATTTTTCGAAAAAGAAAAATCAAATGATCAATGAGAAGGCCGAAGAAATTTGGATATTTTTAATATCTTGACATATTTATGAATAATTTTTATGTAAATTGTTTTGTTATGCAGAATGAATTGCTAAATGAAGAAGCTTCTTCTTCTTGTTCGCCGGCTCAAATATGTATGAAAAAACTACAATTTCAAGAAGAGCTTGGAAAAGTTACTAATGGAAGTGGAATTGGAAAAGGAAAAATCAAAAGCCTTGGAGGAGGAAATTCGTGTAATTAAAGAAGAGCAACTACAATTTCAAGAAGAGCAGATCAAATATCGAGAGGAGCAAAATAAGAAAATGGAATTTATGATGAGTGAGCTTTCACGTTTATCTCAATTGCATTGATCAATTGAAGTTACTTTTCTTATTAAAATGAACTTCACCCGGTTGATCTTTATATGTTTGTTGTTTGAAATATTGGATAAAATGTATGGATTTTTTTTTAAATTGACATTTAATTTTCATATTATAAATGTGAAGATTTATTTGGTTATTGTTGTATTGTAAAAATTTATAGGATTGCTTTTTCTATTGTCTAATTGGATATTGTTATATTTCATATTAAAAATGACATTTAATATTTCAATAATTTCTTAATTATTGACCCATTTTTGTGTCTAATAGGATAAATCAGTGATGACCTCGTATAGTCACTATCGGATTAAACAGCGACCACTTTTTTCTGATCACTAATCGGATTAAACAGTGACCACTTTCTATGGTCACTAATCGGATTAAACAGTGACGACTTTATTTGTCACTAAGTAGATAAAATTGTGACAACTTTAATTGGTTAGTGACAACATTTAGTGACGAAGTGGGTCGTCACATATTTAGTGACGAGTATATTTTAGTCACTGTTTAGTGACCATATTTATATTTGGTCACTAAATTGGTTGTGACGGACCTATAGTGACGAAAAGTGACCACCGGAATTTTCGTCACTAAATCATTTAGTGACGATTCATTCTATTGTCAGTGACCATATCATTTTGGTCACTAATTGGCATTTTTTTTGTAGTGTATCATACATACCATTCCGGACACCTCTATAAGTGAAAATGTCTTCTGATAGCAGTGAAGAAATGCAATTTTTATATGTAAGTTTCAACTTTGTTTCTAATTATATGCATTTATTTTAGATTATACGTTAAAACATGTTTATTTTACGCAATTATATAGGTATTATAGGATTTTCAAAGAATTTTAATCGTGTTAAGACAATTATAGGATTACATGGACTTATACATTTATACTACATCATACATCGTTATTAAAAACTCTAATTTTTGCTAGTCCGGAACGTGTCCGAAATCCGAAAATCATGTTCAGAATCCGAAAATCTTGTCCAGAATACAATGAATCGGGTCCGGAATTTATGGTCCGGACTACCGTTCCGGAATTTTTTTTTTTTTTTTTGTCCGGAATTTTGCTCCGGAACATACATACAAAAATCCCTAATAATTATTTTGATTGTAGCACGATAGAACCTACGAAGCGATTGTTATTATAACCTGTAGACCTGAACTTGGGCGTGAAATCATGACACACTTTCAAAACCGACCAGTTTGTGGGGTGATGTTTAGGCAATCATGATTTGGTGATTACGTGAACATGCCGATGGGTGTCGAATGTCACCCTTTACTATGTCAATATCTTATGTGCAAGGAAGTTACTACTTTTGATCCAGTTGACCTAGAAGAGCTTCTATTTCGGGTTGGCGACTATTGGGTTTGCTTTGAAAGTAAAGCATTCTGCTTGGTCACCGGCTTGCGGTTCGGGGATTATTTCCAACCCAGTTCTGGTTTTGCAGAATTCAGAGAACGTGGGTTTCTATTTGTGCCGATTTCACGTTCGGTAAGTGTGGGTGTGGCTGACCTTACGCATGTGTTCAATAACTTCATCAATTAAGCAATGAAGATGTGGTGAAAGTCTCCCTGCTATATATGCTAGAGCAAGGATTTTTAGGGAAATACCCGCGACAGCCAGTTACTAATGAACGTATGACACAAGTCTCTAATTTACAGGAGTTTAACAGGTATATACAGTTTTTACCCACATTATATCAAAATGATACTTATTAGGGAAATTAAGTAATCTAACCCTTATTAAGTGTAATTTTTTGACATAGGTACCCCTACGACAGATGGATATGGATTTCACTTACAACCATATGTGTACTGTGTTTGATAAGATTGAGGACCATTTGAACCCAAATGTGCCAAGAGTCGGCAGTAGACACACATATACTCTGCAGGGATTTGTCTATACATTTAAGGTATATACACTATGTTTAATAAAAGTCTAGGTAATCTCAAGCTCCTTGGATTACTATAGCCAAATTAAGGATTTAAATCAAAGTATTGCACCATTGGATTCTAATGATATGTTCATCAAAAGTCAAAGTGGGAACCTTAAGTCAACCATCCTTCTCTTATTGATTTTACATCAAACTCTTATTTTTGTTGAAATTGTTTATTTAAATCTTAGTTTAATTCTAGTTTATTCCAAGTATTTCAAAAGACCAAACCCCCCATTTTTAATTTATTGTCATTTTACAAGTATTTTTACAAAGAGATTTTCATAGAGTTATAAATTGAACCAATCTCCGTGGATTCGACCCCTTTACCACTATACACTATTTTAGTGTGTAATATTTAGGGTTATTATTTTTGTTGGCCTCGACAACCACCAATTTCCAACTGATAGGGAGAAGGTGATTGGTTCATAAATCCTCTAGATTTCCAAATGATATGGAGAAGGTGATTGATTGGTTTAGAAATCCTCTAGATTTCCAAATGATAAGGAGAAGGTGATTGGTTCAGAAATCCTCTAGATTTCCAAATGATAAGGAGAAGGTGATTGGTTCAGAAAATCCTCTAGATTTCCAAATGATAAGGAGAAGGTGATTGGTACAAAAATCCTCTAGATTTCCAAATAATAGAAAGGGGACCTTGATTGCTAATGATTTTGAAACATAAAAGTGTTTTAAAATGTATATATGGATTCTCAGGTACTAGGTTGCTGCAACGAATATGGAGAACATCCTTCAATCTCTAAAACTCTTAACTGTTGTAGTTTGTCAAACTCCTTGCTCAAGGTTGGTTATGCACTGGCCCGACCATAAACAACATAGGTGTGCATTTATGGTATGACTTATGTATGGTACTAACCTTTAATTGAGGCGTCTGACCTAAAAGGTTGAGTTGGTAGTTTTAGTTGAAGGGATGTTTAGAATTTTATTAAGTGTTCTCATCGCGGGTCAGAGTGTATATCAACACATATATATTATGGTTGGTGGAGTTTGAATTATTATTAAAATTTTGTTTTGTACTCCAAGGCTAATATGTACAGACGAGGGCCAGATATGAAGTACTGGAGGGCAGGATCATTTTGGCAATTAAGTTGTTCTGAAATCCAACAACCCTATGCGGCCCTTCAAACATGATTCCCCGTATTGTACGTAGCCAAGAAGTAGTGTAATTAATAATAATACTTTTATTAGGAGCTTGTTGCTATAGTTGTAGTTACTCTTTTGAGGATACGAGTTCTCTATAGCCAATTTAGCTCTGATATCATTCTGTCACACCCCCGGCCGAGGCGGAAAATGCCGAGCTATGCGACTAAGTTCATGGATCACATATAAACTGAATATATAGCACAAGTACAACGATAAACAAAACAACATTTGTATTCCATCATTAAGTTTGAATACAGGGTTCTTACAGATAATCACAGTACAGTAGTTTCCTTAAACAGGTAAGTAGATAACAAAAACTAGATAGTTAGGTCGTCTGTAATCCATGACCAATCTTCTGTCTGAATGCTTGTCTAATGATCTCCTGAGAATACATGTAAGTTTGAGGGTCAACACAAAGGTTGGTGAGAGTCACAGGTTTTCTGAAATAATGATACTTTTAATATGATCCAAAAAGTATTGCCTTTGTAAGTAAAACCGTGTTTGGAAATGTTTGATAAAGATAGAAATTTAATCTGTGGTTTCTAGATAATGAAATCTAGTTAAAGTTTATAGTGACAAAGTTGTACGGATAACGGATAAACGGACATACGGATAAAGTTATCTGCCAATGTTGTACTTAACAACCGTAGATACGGATAAACGGATAAACGACAAGTATATTTGATAAGCGTAAACGTAAAAGTGTACGATACTTGTTTAAACAGTTGATAAATCTTAGGGTAGCATACACAAGCACATGTATGAGCCTATGATACAAGTTTCATAACTTGTATAAATATATAAACCTATATATATGTGTATGTATGATGTATGTTGAAACTACTGAGTTGATAACCATCTGTACAATCATAACACTTTTGTAGTCGGAAAGTATATGCTATTTTTTATTAGTTGTATCGTTTTAACGACATAACATATATTGATATTGAGGTTTAAAACTAGTTTGTTTACTTATACCATATAAGCGTTTAAACAAATATTTCACAAACTAGTAATGTGTTTACACAAAATAATGATATTTCATGTGTACTTTGTATGATAAATATTACTTAGTACACGTACTACCATGTACAGACGAAGGCCAGACATGAAACACCGGAGGACAGGATCATTTTAGAATTAAGCCGTTCTGAAATCCAACAACCCTATGCGACCCTTCAAACCAGATTCTCCGTACCATAAGTAGTAGAGTAGTAAATAATATTTTTGTGTGATTTATATCGCATAAAAATGATGATGTTGTTTGTATAAACAAAACATTTAGACACATGTATATATATAATATAGTACAAGTAGTACATGTATCTCCCCCCCCCCCCCCCTCGAAAATATGTAAAAGTGGAACGTAATACTTACCTTAAAGTGTAGTTGTCAACTTGTTTCGAGAATTGACGTGAGAAACGGGATGTGTCGCTTTGATAACGAACCGTCGAGAATTATTTAGTTTCGTATGAAATTTTAACATTAATTAATATGTGGAGGGTTGTTTGGTAATTTAACCAAAGCATAGGGCTCATTTATTAATTAAAATAAATCAAATGGGACTAAGTTTGTCAATACTTTTCAAATGAGGGACTAAAATGATTTATTTAAATTCTAAGGTTGAGTTTTGGATTTATTTTGCAAATAAATCACAAGGAGGGGTGTAATTTAAATAAATAAAATGAAGTTTGTGGGCTTTGTATTTGTTTTGAAAAGGATTTTTGGTGGAGGGTAGGTTTTGAATATTTTAAATGGGAGTTTAGGTGTTTAGGT